GCCATCGCTCTTAGGTTGGAGGCGTTCGCTAGTAGGTTGGAGGCCATCGGCCACCGTTCTTAGGTTAGAGGCCATCAAACACGGCTCTAAGGGTGTTGTAGCACAGGACGTTCACAGTCAGAACATGGCCCGTAAAGCCATTTCAGTGATAAGTGATGCCTTTAACTCCTGTCTTGTTTATTGTTTATCATGGGTCATGTGTTCGCGCATGGTCTTTACAACAGTTTTGGCAGTTATTTCTGTCATAGTGCATTCTATTGTTTTCAGACACAATGGTCGGCAAGCCTCCGCTATCTTCCAAGGCTTCGAAAATTGATTGTTCTACAAAAAATCTATGAAAGTAATGAATACAAATACGACAAGCCTTGGGGGATATGACACAAGGTTTTAGGCACAGTCAGCACTCCCAGGCTTCGTACATTTCGCATAGGTTTTAGTACTTATGAGTCGCATATGTTTTGTATCTTTAAACCGATGAAATGCAAAATCTTCAGAGAATAGGGGAACACAAGGAGGATATTTGTATGTGTTATGTTTCGTTGCTTTTAAATCCTTAAAAGGGGTCAGTATTGTTTGTGGAGTTTCCATTAAAGACATGATCAAAAAAACAGCAGGCTTGAGGACTTATAATGTCGCAAATGTTGATGTAATCACATTGGAACTACATTAGCACTAAGCACAGTGGTTTGAGGAAACCACAGAAGATTGTAAGCCTTTGTGAGACCCTTGAACACTGCTCAATTGGAGGAATAGGATTGCAGTTTCTTGTCCAACGGTTCCAAAGCGCCTTACAATTCGATTTTGGAGTCCGCAAGGAGCCCTCAGAGGAATGTAATGGAGATCAGGAGGCGAGACGGGCAGAGTTCGCTTTACAGAGCGCTCAGCGTTCGCCGGTTCAACGTCACACGCGCCCGGTCGGTGTCCCCGAACAGAATCGAACAGATCGTCGTGGCTTCATCTAGACGGGCTTGTGTGGCATACCCACTGACTTCTGTTCATCAGCGGTTCTTTGTTAAAAGTGTTGTTAGCTTTTGTCGTTTGTTTGCTCTCTTTCTTGCAGATCGGTTTTCGTCCATGGAGGTTTTCCACCACATCTCCATGCTCTTCGCAGCAGAAGGCGAAATGGATCGAAGGTATAGCAATAGATATTAAGAAAACATGCATCATTGTGGTTAAAGGCATTTTTTTAACATGATATTTTTGCAATGCAAGCAATGGTAGAATCAAGGTGGCAGATGGGCATCGGCGAGTGAGAAGTGGTGAGCATTGTAAGGCTTACAATACTGTGATTTTGTGCTTGCAGCGACTGAACCACTTGAGTCGGCTTGAATACACGCTTGGCTCGCCCCCCCCGCCGCCCTAAGCTTCCTTGAAGAAGCGCGAGCTATCCTGCGTCCTGTCGGTAGTAGCTGCTTGGACTACTAGCTACCTACCTAGCTACTAGTAACTAGCCCTATCTACCTCCTATTGCGGCCTCCCCCTAAATGAAGTATTCAATTGCTTCTAATAGCTTCTTGTTACTACTAGTAAGGCACTTGTTACTAGTAGCTTCTTGTTTCTAATAACTTATTTAATACATTTTACGAAGAAAGTACATCCTATTTTCTGTGTCCGAAGGTCGAACGGCTCGACTCATCGAGATCCGAGACTTCCTCAGGACGCAGGCGAGAAAGATGCCGGAAATGCTGCGGGCATGGTTCGATGTACACCTTCTTTTTGTACGTTGTTTTTCTTTTTTTGTTTTTCTGGTATTTTCTTTTGATTGTGGTTTGTACTGAAGTATTTTTCCAAAAAATGCTGTTTTGAGGCCAGCATGGGAGCTGGTTAGACAGTGTGTCAATTGTTGGCCCTTTGCCAAACACCTGTTCCCTTACACATCCAAAAAAAGAGAGAGATGACAAAAGGAGGGCAAGCGATTCTAGGTTGGAGGCCATCGCTTCTAGGGCGGAGGCCATCACTAGTAGGTTGGAGCTTCTAGGGGGAGCAAGCGATTCTTGCCTTCCTTCTTCGTTGTTAAGAAAAGTTGCGCCGACTTCGCTTTTCCAGCGTCCAACGGTGCAGCCGGTGAACTTCGCATAACGCAGCGTGGGACCAGTAGCCAACGCAACGAAATGCATCGTCACAGTGCCGAGACTTTTGAGATGAAACAATAAGAAATCTTTTCCAGAGAGTCGCAGGTCGATGGCGATGTGGATTTGGTAGTGCAGCACTTAGCAGTTGTTTGGTCAATTGAAAAACAGATGTATACAGATGTGAGGGTAGAGCTGTGCATGCCCAAGTGCCTCGTGTTGGGCCATGGCCTTGCTGCGCCCCTCAAAGGTGTTAAGTCCCCACAGCAGCCTACACTGCATAAATAACAGTCAATGGGATTCACTCAAAAGTTGAAAACACTGCGCTTTCAGCTGCTTTCAGCTTCTCGTTTCTGAAAGCGCCCAGGCAGGTCCGCAATTCTTCAAGGCTGGGTGTTAGTCGATGAGTACGAGGTTGCGACAAGATCAGATTTCCCCTCAGGAGCTTATGCATGGGGTGCAGGGATCATGTCCAGCGGCACAAGCGGTCGGGGCGCCCCAGTACTACTCCCGGACGCCTTGTGACCGTGTGACTTGATTGCGGTTCTCCGATGCTTTCTTTCATTCGTTTTCAGATTTGATGATTCAGCATCGCTACTAGGAGCAAGAAGCTACTAGGAACATTAGGAACAAAGGGCATCGCTACTAGGAGCAAGGACGCTACCAGGGGCTCCTGGCCTTACTACTAGGAGCAAGAAGCTACTAGGAGCATGCTCATGTTTAAGAGGATTTAGATTTGATGATTACGACCCCCGGCCCATGGGGGTCACGCCCGAAATGGTAGTTAAAGGTCGACATAAGGCCTAGGTTCATCGAGAGCCTCTTATGTTGTTCGCGAACATGTTTTTTTAGGTGTGCTTCGCGAAGAACGGCGCTTTCGTTAGAAGGAATTTAGATCAACCACCAAATAGACTTGAAGCCTTTCCTTGACTTGTCACCAAGTAGCCATTCTATTTTGCCTCACATTATTTGATACATCCATGGCTACTCACCAATGCCGGAGCTGTTTACCTTTGCCTTTACAAAAGGTGCTGATGTCTCATAACTTTCCATGATTGTCCTTCCAGAGAGGTGGGGGATGCATTTATTCAACCTTTGAACTTTGAAATGTGGGTTTCTTTATGTGTTTTTTGCGTCTTACAGGTTTCATGCTTCCTTTGCTGACCTCCCGAAGCAATACCATGGTTTGGCACTGGTTGGACCTGATTGATCACCGAACAGCCTTTGTTTGATTGGTAACAAAGAGGTTTTGAACTCAGTTTGGCGCAGACACCACAAGTGCTTGGACAATCAAGAAGCCCTTGGAGCAGAAATGTTGTGCTCATTCCCTTTCGTGGGCACGGAGCTACTAGTAGCGTCCTTGCTCCTAGTAGCGATGCCCTTTGTTACTA